AATATTGAGATAGGCAGGAAACAAATTCATTTGCTCGCGTGTTTATTTCGGACAAATTATCAGAATAATTTCTAGTTATGAATTTCGTAGTCTTTCATAACCACATATGTGATGCTTGGAATCCTTCAAAACTCAACTTTTGTTTCTCCTGTAATGCCCAACGTTTTAAATCAATATCGTGTACTATTACATTTCTATTACGCGCTAAAACAAATTTTTCTAATACAACATTACCAATATCACGAAGTTTATCAAGTCGCGACCCACCGCTACTAATTTGCTGTTCCCACCTATATAACTGTGCACGACTTTTTACTTTTTTAAATCTTGCTTGTACACTTTTGAAAGATAATGGTCTTTTCCTACCACTCTTCCAAAAGTTTACAGCATCCTTCTTATATTCAATACTAATATGACACCTCCCATGTATGTTTTCATCAGGCGAATTAGATGAAGATTCACTTACTTCTACAGGTGACGATGATACACTTATTTCTGGCTTATGTGGACTGCATGATGGGAATTTATCTTCATCTACGTTATATTCAAACAATAATTCTTGTTCGGTTTCAATTTCAGCATAACCGGCTTGTGCATATCGGTTAATTAAGTCCTTAATCGTATCAGCTACTTAAATCAATTTCTTTGGCGTTTACAGGTGTACGCTGAACTGTACCTTCATAATTATAGGAATCTATTAAAATGCTTATGATATTAGCCGGATTTACTTTCATAGCGATACAGTTAATCGATTAAATGAAAAATAAAAAAAATGTAACTATAAGCCGTTTAAAACTAAATGAACTTATAACACTACTAGTTGATTTGGAAATCCTTCTAGCCTTGTGGATGTATATGAATCACTTAACACTTAATTTGGATTAATTAATAGCATTCGAAAGACCACTCCGCAACAAAAATCACAACTCTACACAATCGTCCAGCACACTTCTTGCAATTCTATACTCGGCTAGCAGTTAACTGTTCAATGGTTCGATTTGTTCTGAAGTCT